TTTTCATTCCAATACTATACGTTTGCCAAACGCAGTATCAGATGGACATGATTCAGAAGGGACAAGTGCTTCCAAACCGCGCCCAAATGCAGCCTACGAACACATTTCGAACTCCTGGACAAGAACAACAACAACGGTAAGCGCACTTATCGCGAAGTCCGAGAATTCCTCTAAAGAAACTGTTGGTTTTAGAGTTATCGAGAGCCCATTGGTGCCAAAAGGAAGACTTGAAAGGTTCCGCGACTATGTTGGACGCACCTGTTGTTCATGTTTTCTTAAGGTGACATCAACTTATTTTTGATCATTTGACTTGTGCCCAGAGTGATTTGAACTTCTAGCTACCCGTTGTGGTAATCGTTGTTGTAATTTGTATCATAATCGCTCTTCTATTGGCTTTGATTCCAACCATGGTAATTTTGACAAATTCGGAACGAGAGGCCCAGAGCCAGTTTTCAGACGGAGTAGAAGTTGAGGTATGATATAAAATTATACTCAAACTGTTCATACTTTGTTAACGTAGAATAATCCTAAGGAAAAGCATGATCGTTGTTATGGATTAAATTAGAACAGAAATCCCATTTGCGATAAGATGCGGGTGTGAGTGGGATTATTTGTTGCACACCTCATTCCATGTAGTACACTCACAAGTGATAAACTGAGTTGTAGGACGACGGACAGTGTTTTTCATCTTTGTTTTTTGTATCCTAGTGAAAAATAGTTTTTTGCTAGTGAATGAGACTGATGTTTAAAACTATCGTATAACTTTAGTTGAACATAAATGTAATTATCTCCTCCTTTCCAACCCATTGATATGAAAATTGGTTTTGTAATATCCAACAAAAAGTTATATCTCGAAGAAGATCTAAATTATAACTCAGTCGATATTAGCAGATCAAATCGATTTTATTAAATTGCCGCATGATGTCCTGCTTTATTCTGCAGAATAAAAAAATTCGTTACTCAAAGTTTAGCCAGTACAAAGCTCTAAAAAAGGCCTTCTTTTGAAGGGTAGTTTACCTGGCTTATCAGTGTTTTCAGTTTTTTGAAAGCTAAAAAATTCAACTGTGGCTTTTTTGTAGCATACGTGAATATCAAACCTAGCATGTTCAATCACTGCAAAAGAAAGCTATAAAGCAATTGCAAACTTCTCGCTTTCTCAATTCAGACCCTTCAACTATGAGCAAACCAAAATAATTAGAAAGATCGAGTGCACTAATTTGTAGGGGGAAACTTTTATTTTCAAATTATAAATAATTGTTGACAAAACTTTTGATCTAGTTAGATTTATATTAATTCAAGAAGAACGGCGCGAACTTATCCGACAACCCAATAATTTCTTCATCATCTGGTAAGGGATTATCGGCACAGTGGGTTTTATGATAAACGGCGTCGTTAGCTAAGCGCTCTAAACAGTAAAGAAAAGGCGCTTTTGTGTCCGTTATCGCTGTAAACTGGAGCTATCGCTTATGAAGTCATACACCCCCTTTTCCCCTTAAACTGCATGCTTAACCTATTTCATTAAGGTCATTCGAAGCAATCACTTCTTCCCAAAGCCTGATCCCTTAGAGGGTGACGAAGATGACGTTGTGGATGAGCTGCGACGTAATGGTGTCCGAGTAGTCCACGGAATCCCATCTACTTCCCTCTTCCCTCCCAACGTGTCCCTCTGCGAAGGCTTTGGTTTTGCCTGTACAAATGAGCCGGTAAGTACATTTGAACAATGCTGTTGAGCCAGTCATCATTTTTTTGTTTGTTTTTAATTTAGAGTTTGGTGATCAGCACTGCGTTACGATGTGACGGAAAAAGCGACTGTCCAGATGGATCAGATGAACTAAATTGTAAACGTGAGATCTAAGGGCATTTTCATCGCTTAAACATCTAGCGGCTGATTAACGTTCCTTCAGGATGCCAGTCGGCGTTCTCCTGTTCAATCTCGCCGAAAACCAAAGTGAAGGTTTGTCTACGAGCCGAACAACTCTGCGATGGTATTACACATTGTCCTGATGGTTACGATGAGGAAAAATACTGTAGTAGGTTATATGGGGAGATTTATTCGTGTTAATTATTAAGTGCATCTTTTTGCTTGAGAAATCATCTTCTCATTGTGAGTATATATCCAATTTCGAATGCAAAGCTTTCTTCAATCAAATGAATTTTCTTCATTTTACAACGCTTTAGTAGACTATTCTTAGGATAGTTTTCTTAAAACTTTGGTGTTGTCTATTTAATTACAGCCGGCTGCTAGTGTACACTTTCTGCCAAACTTATTGCAAATGGAATAATTAAATATGCTTTTAATTACAAAACGTTATTGTTCTGCACGGGCAACATTTTAGAAGCAACTTGTGATGACGAGGAAATGAGCTGCCCATCGACATCGCTCTGCCTTCCCCCATCGTCCATATGTGATGGTATTGTCGACTGCGATACAGAAGACGATGAAGTCAATTGTGAAGAATGCAATCGCGGAGCTCAGGTAATGGCTTTTTGTTTACTTCTCTTTTATGTGGAATTGTATTACTTTTTTAGTTCTGTGAAGTGACGAAACGTTGCATACCAGCAGGGCAACTATGCGATGGCATTCCACAGTGCCCGGATAGATCGGATGAGCAGGTTGGTGATGAAGCTGAAACATTTTGCAGTTATAATGTTCTTCCTTCCGATTCTATTCAGAACTGTGACTGTCGTTTATGCTCTGGTTCGGACAAGGCGCTGTGTGCCAATGGGCAATGTTTGGAAAGATCTAGAGTTTGCGATGGAATTATGGACTGCGAAGATGGCATGGATGAAAAGAACTGCCCAGGATCTTGCCTTCTGGAGGAGGGTGAAACGGTAAAGGGGTTCCTTCATTAAGCTCTCTCAGACAGTTGAGCTGTACAAATTTTAGATTCTTACTGTGAGATGTGCTGATGGACGGACGTATCCAGAAGCAGAGGCGTGCTCTGGAGCAATAGAGCATTGTGCTTATAACTGTATTAAATGTGATCCTCGTCTAGCTTATACATGCAAGGACAAAAAGTGTGTTCCACAAATGCTGGTAAAGATACTTCATATATTGAAACTTGGAAGCTTTATTGTGCCTACATATTTTTTTTCTCCAACTACAGGTGTGCGATGGTATCGAGGACTGCTCTGAGGGCGAGGACGAGCGAAGTTGTAGCTGTGCAGTGAGTCTCACTTCAGCCGTATTTATAGCGAAAATGAAATGTGTTAAGTTAGGGCTTGGATAAATTCGAGTGCCGATCTGCATCTGGGAAGACGAAATGCATTCCAAAAAACAAGGTGTGTGATGGAGTATGGGACTGTATGGACGGAAAGGACGAGACGAACTGCAAATCGGTACGCGGTTAAACATATCTACAAACATCATTTTTTAGATCAATTTTTTCCAGTGTCCTCAAGATAGCATACGTTGTGATGAGGGCAAATGTATACCGAAGATGTCTCGCTGCGATGGTGTAGCGGACTGCAAGGACGGCTCTGACGAGATCGGCTGCACTTGCAAAGGTTATCCCGGCATTCCTTAGAATTTCCCAGTAATCTTCTTAGCCTCGCAAAGTTTTCAGAATGCATAGGAAATCACTGGAACACGTATATGTGCGGAGCAACATCGCACTGCTTCAGAAGAGATGAAGTCTGCGCCCCGTATACCATCTGCCCGAACGCAACGAAAGCAGACAAAGTCTTTTGCGCAGGAAGAGCGCTTCGAGGTGTGGATTGGCTCAGGTAGACTGCACAACTGCCAACGTCGACTT